TAACGATTAGGTTTTGATAAAAAAAAAAACAAATCATCTCTTTTTTTTATTAAATATTTTATTGTTAGTTCGTCATGATATTATTACCTTTACTAAAATAATGCTCACTTTATACTTTTTGGAAAGTTACTTTTTTATGAACTATTTACCTTACTCATTAAATTAATACCTACCAAAGAGTTTTCACTATGAAGCCTATTGAAGCCGCTTTATTGCTTTATTCCTTTCCTTTCGTACTTTACCTTTCCACTCAGGGAAATCGATGGATCATTTAGATTTGAAGGTATATCTGAGGTACTTTCTTGGGTCCGCTGTTCTGTGTCTCCGCCGCGGGCGCTATGGCCGTAAAAGGAGGTTGCATTACATTTGTAGCCTTATCGCTGGCCGCATGAATGCCATGACGGCATTAAGAAGAATAATTGGTTCTGTCATTATTTATTTATTTTTTATCTGCAACGCTTGGAAAAGTATTTCCAGTCGCATAAAAGTATTGTATTTAAATAAAATTTCTCTCAATATAAGTAACAACTACTGATAAAAGACCAGGCTAATTGTGGACGATGCGACAGTGAGTGTTTGTGTCTAGGTAGTGTATATCAGTTCGCTTAGTACTCTCGATTTCATTTCAGTGTTCTATCTGGTATTCTGGGGCAATCGTTTTTCTGGCGCTTTTTATTCAAATTCATTAATAATCGCAACTTTTACTATTAAGATCCCGTATGAGGTATCGGCTATTTACACGCCGCCTCAACATAAACTGAATCACTAAAAGCCTTTGTTAAAAGCGAATATCAAAGAGAAAAAATGTAAAATGTTTCTAAGCCGAGACCATAAGTGTAGCAAAAAAGTTATTAGATCTCTTATGGAGCCGAGCTTCTTACTCTGTATGCCCTTATTTTACGAGCTCTTACTCCACGCCTTAGTAAAAAACATATCGCTCGGCTGTTTTGCTACTGTAAAAAGCGTGTTAGGCGAAAAAATTGTATTCACTGTTCATTAATTTCTATTATATCACAGTTCTTGTGAAAACAAAAGACCAAGCCACTGAATATAGTTTAAATAAATAGTAATAATTAGATAGAGAGATAGAGAAGAAAATAATTTAAATAAATAAAAGAAAAACTACATTACACTTGATAGCTTAAATTTTAAAATCACCTCGAGTAAAACAAATAGAAATATCTTATTAGAATAATTTTTCAATTCAAATACTTTTATTTCTTCAGTACGATTTGATTTCATTTGTGCCCAATATGGACATTAATAAGCTAATGATGTAAAGAGAGACTAATATTCTAATTGGTATTTATTAAATATGTGTCATAACCTTGAAATAAAACTTTGACAATTTTTGTAAGCTTTTTTATTTATCATTCACATTGTACAATTGTGTAGGTAGTCATTTAATTATTTTTAATTCAAAGATTGCAACAGGGTTTACGAAAAAATAGAATGTCAACAACAGCTTCTTGATCTAAACAGACATTATTCATAACAAAGAGATTATTCTGTAAGACATATACAAATGAATGCCTACTTCCACAAATTTTCGTTTAATTAAGTATTAAATAATATAATTTAATACATTTAATAATTTAGAAATACATATAAATAACGGTTACGCGTCGTCAAAGTGCCAATCAATAGGGTGGGTGCAGTAGTACCAACCGATCAGCAACATTTTGAAAATTCTTCTCTTTTTCTTCGTATATTATTTAAAGATTTTAGATATAATTACATGGTTGGTAGGAATTCAGCAATGCTACCAAACCCAAAAAATAGCGGTATGTGCAATAAACTTTAATATTTAGGTCTTAAGATTGAAATGGCGTACTACTGTTTCTTGGTATGGGACTGGCGCACCCACCCTATATTATAATACAGATAACAGCACACCAGGTTAATCAAAGCTAAAGCTCCTTAATACATTGACGGTAGAGTTCCAAATTGATTGTTGAACCTGACGAGAAGCCGTGTGTACATTACAACTAACTCAGTTGTCTTTACTTCACCAACGTCACCAATATGGAAAGTAAAGGTTTGAACGACTTATTAACACGTTATTGTTTTTTCCCGTCGTTCTGTCTTTTTCACTTACTAAGAAATGCTATTTGCTAGAATGAGAAAGATAGCGTGTCTATGTCTCGAAGATTTCGCAACTTGGTATCGCAGACCAGCTGTCTTTTCCGTTCTAGCCAATTGCAGTTCTAAGTGACTGAAAAGGATATCAGATGTAGTTCATCCATAAGCATAAGCCACGCTATATAAAGTCCGGACACTTGCGCATTATCAATGACATATACTTCATTCGCTATCAGGCCTTATTTTCTAGCTAGTCGCACGCGCCTGGCCGCACATGATTGCTATGTACCTATTCATAAAGATAGACACCCATACCTATTTCTGAGGTAATGATTTGGAAGTATCAATTGCAAAAAGGGCACGCGACTCAATTATCGCGCTCGACTTAGTTGTTTATGTTTAATTATTGCACTGTCAATTATTGCAACTAGCCGCACACTACTAGAGGTTGTTTTGTTTTACTGGTGACGTGGCCATAATTATTAGACTTCTACATTTCGTATTTATAAATAGAAAATAAGTTTAGACAAGTGATTGTTGACTGTATGTTCACTGTTAAAATTTTTACCTATTTGCCTATACATGTTACTCTATACAATATATATATCTCTATACAATTAGCACATAAATTTTTAACTATCTTTAAAATATATTCTGCTTCAATATACACACTTTTTTAACTTATCACATCTTTTAGCCTAACAAATAATTTTTCTACAGTAGTCAGTGTAAAGAGCTGCAGGAAGACTTTCAACATCAATTGAGACAATTATCTTTATTATGAAAGAAAATGAAATTAACTTGAATTTATTTCATTTTTCAACTTCAATATTTTTCGCTGATCATGGACTCTACAATTTAATTAGATATTCCATGCACACAATCACGTTAAATTTCATTTTCTTTCAGATAATGCCCCTTTTGACAATTACAATCAAATTTATATACGCTTTAACAGCATAACACTAATTAATAATATCGAAAATATTCTGCTGAAATACATAGACAATAATGGAATTCTCAAAATATTTTCTCCTCTCCAATTTAACTACCAACATTGCGGTTATTGTATGTATGACCGGAATACATAAACGCAGTATACTTAGATTCTAATAATATTCTACCTTAGAATGGGCATAAATAACATGAAAATACTGTCGGGACACGTAGTTACTCATTATTTTTTCACGTGCAATGCAAATAAATTGAAATATGTTAGAGTTATCTCAGGCTCGCTCTCTGTGGCTCAGAATCGCTTTTTGTTAGAGCGAGAAAGATACACTTGAGGATTCAGTGACATGTGTCGCATACCGCTATCAGTCTCGCTCTAACAAATGGCGATTCTGATTGATAGAAAAGGATACGGTGACGAAAAGACGCGATAATATACTGCCAGTTTAGCTCAACCCTTAATAGTCGCATACACACCAGACGATCCATCTTGAATAGGTAGTCGTGCGATTTATCGTGATTTTAATTCCAAAACATCGTATCGTGCGTGGCTACTTTCACACATATCGCTCCTTTGCAGCACACTTCTACCACGATTGGAGCACGTTTGATCATTTGGAGTGTATATTGCTGATGGGCCGCTATATTAAAAAGGAAATGGTGGACTGGCAACACGACCAAAATAATCAAAGCCCATTGTCCAACAATTGTTACAAGTACAGGTATTATAAATAAAATTAAGTAGAATTGCAAATGTTGAAATTTAAAATATTTGAATAACAAAGATAAATCTAAGCTTCTACTTAGTAGACAAGTTACTTAAAATCCAAATGTTTAATGTAATAAGTAAGTTAAAATTTACTATTACTATAATGTATTGGGTGAAAAATTAAACAAAGCCGATTTGCTTATTTAACATTTGCAGTATTTTTTGTAATAAAATAATTAACTATAAAAATAGCTGCCACTATTCATTTATAAATAGTCTTAAAATTAAGCAGCCTAAGTGGCAACTCGCCCATATCAAACCAAACGCAATTTACTTTGATATGGATTACATTCGCTGGTCTCAATTCTAATTAAGCCTAACCTTTTTTCTCAGGAGAATACTTTATGCACTGTCCACGCCTTTTGACAGGCGGTAGGTGGTGCGTGGGACTCTATCCACATGGACCCGCCCGAAAGCTAGACAAAGCGCGGATGTCATTCCTACTAAATGCTCTCATCAACGATGTGTTTACTGTTTTAGGAAAAATCTGAATGGCTATTCTGAAAAAAGTTCCAATATTATTTACAAGAATGATGTATAAGTAAATATCTGATAAATAAAATATTAAAAGTTTTTTTAACATCTATATAGCAAAAAGCAGATTGTTTCATTACGTCCTTTTATAATTATTACACATAATAATTTTAAAAGTAATCGGAAACAGTAAAAATCCTTCTTTGTTTAGAAATTTAGATAATTTATCATCCCATTTATAAAAAAAAGTAATGCTCCTCTTGTCGAATAAGAGTCATATTACTGCCGATTCAATTAACCTTAGCACCGTTTCCAATTAACTTTTCAAATTTAAAAAGACAATTGACATTCAGAAGCTCAGGAGGAAACGAGAGATTCATGCGTTTCGATACCATAATACTATATTGTAACAATCGAGCTATTTGTTAACATTAATTTTATGAACACAGTAAAATTTTTCTAATAAGTAACTTGACTATTTCCTAATAGGACATGTAGTATACGATCTTGAATTTATATGAACCACTTAGATAGAGTTAATATTCTATCGCAAAATGGAAATTGTGAAAAAATAATGGAAACAACCTCTTATATCTTGAAAGTGAGACCACAAAGCATTAATGACTGACAAAATTTATTTTTAAAAGTAAAATGTATTGATTCTTTTATTTAGATTTTACTCGAAGCGATTGGTGTAAATATTCAGTTGATATTTATTTATTTTTTAATTCAATTGGAGTGCGAGCTCGCGGAGAAGGAATCCACAACCGAGGAGCCAAAACGAATGGTAATTTTGTAGACAGGTGGCAGTCGCATTCGCTTGGCTGGTCTCAGGATGAGGTTTTTTCACGCTGAACTCGTTAACCGCAACTGTTGGGAAAGTATTAGCAATTCAGTTCAGTTGTATTTACTTTTGGGGACTTCGCCGACTGGGGCGCGGTGCGTAGTAACATTAATGTAAATAAAAGTACCCCCTTGTAATGTTTGAGAAGTTTGTTTAATATTACGATTTCTGCTGCAAAGCGTGGAAATTTTGGAAATAATGGTTTCACCTGTTTTGTGAAATGAGTTTGTTCCACTTATTGGTACTGTAACTGTTAGAATTTCTAATCTTCCGTATTCTTTTTAACTTTACTCAAAATTGCTCATTACATTTTTAAGTAGTACTTTTTATTTTGTTATTCATCTCACCAGTAACAGTCTGTTTTTTGACATCAGCAAACTTTTCTCCTGGGCCTACTTCATCTGGAATCGTAGCTGTGCAGGTCAGCTGCTGGCGTCCTCGGGCTGGTGCGTGAAGTTCCGCTATAGATACCCATAGAGATATGGGAGTAACCGGTGGGACTCTTGGTCTTTCTTGTATCTGTTACAAACAAACATTTGCATTAATATTAATCTTCATCAACTCCTGACCATGGCCGATAAACTATTCGGTCGACAATTTATCAATTCACTGGAAGCTTTTAACAGACCCAATTTGTTAGTATTGAGTTTAGTTTGACTTCGTCGTCGCTATCTAGTTGGCTTTTATACCTCATCAAACAAACCTCCCGAATAGTTCAATTAGTAAAGTATACTAACTCGACCCAATTTCGTTAGATACTTTTTTAAGGTAGGTTAAATTTAATTTCTACGTTTCTCTTCAGTAATAAAAAATCAAAAGATCTATTTTCTGATGGCACTAACTACTATTTCAAATACTTTAGCTAGTGTCAACTTCAACAGATCAAGTCAAGCAGAAGTGATGTGGGTATTGAAACGTAATTGAATAAGTTTTCTCGGTAAGTTTTGCTGAACTGGTTCAACATAACAACAAAACGCTGAGATCGTGTTTCAAAGAGTTTGCGTTTATTTCAACGATGCTACATACATAAATATCCAATTATGCGATTGTGGAGATGCTTATATCTCATTTAAATAGGTCGCAACGTGTTTTGCGATGGTTGGATGAGTTAGTTAGGTTAGATTATTCTGTTATTATGTTTCTACCTTTGCAATTTAATTTTCTTTTTTATACATATTTTATATTCATAAATACTGTACCTTAGCCATTTCTTCACTTTGTGCTTCTTTCAAAGTACATTTGTTATGTTTGCTGTTATTGGCTGGTGGAAGAGTAGTGGTCTCACTGACAAGCGCCCAGTATTTGGCTGTATAGTTGAATTCCGGTGCTATATAACGGTGTTGATGTTTTCTATGTCTGTAACCTCCACCGCCTTTTGTTCTCGTTGAGCTGGACACACGATAGGAAAAGTATCGAATTGATTCCTCTGGCACCTGTGGAAAAAATTGCTGTGTAAACAGTCATCTTCCATAAACCGGCTACCGGAATATTAGTTTCACTGTCGAACTTACCAGTATTTATGTTAAATAAGTAATATTGTTTCTTATAGCCATTCCATTTCATATATTCGTAGATTTTTATATATATGAACTTAATATTTTCGCAATTTAAAAAGATTAATAAATATTAAATTAGGTACTAATACCGTTTGCTATTGTAAGTCAGAAATGATATTAAGAAAAGTTTTTACATATTTATTAAAAAATCTGAAAGCCGACGAATCAAAATATAGAAAGAAACAAAATGTAGTAGACAAATGAAAGGAAAAAAGCAGCATAATAGCCACATAAGATAAGGGAGAAAGACAATAAAGATAATATAATCATGATCTTTACCTATTGTGGTACTTGTTAGTGTGGTAGATATTATTGTTGTGGTAGATAAGTCAAATCAAATCAGATAAAAAATATTTATTCAGTCTAAGCACTTGTGAAAGTTGAAACTAAGTATATGCCATTGGTTTATAAATATACGGCAAAAGCCCTTGTACTGAGAATAACTGGCAAGATGAGCAAGGTGATGCTGAATCTTGAAGTAATTATAAAATAGTCTAGTCAAGACGCATAAAGATGAAAGTGTGAAACCGTGTAAGGCATTAGTAGATGTAATAAGGATGGTATGCAAAGTTTAGACAACCAATCATAAAGTAAAATCCTTAAAATATTCATCAGTTAGTATATATCATAAAATAAGAACCCATAACCCACCTGGTGTGTTTAGAAGTTTTGAGAAGAAATAAAAGTTTCTTAACATTTTTAATAAATAACTTAAATTTAGAAAAAAATTTCAGTTGCCATTAAATAGATACAAATCAACAATAAAATATATGTTTTATTCAAAATGACCGCCCTCCTTTTTAATACAGGCCCTTAGACGATTTTTTCCAGTCATCAATGGCGGCATGAATCTTTTCTAGCGAAATTCGATTTGCTTCTCGAACAAGGGTTCGCTTCAGTGACTCCAAGTTTGGGTGGGACTTTCGACAGGCCCTGAGCTTTAATTAAGTATAAAGAATAATAATCCAGCGGGTTAAGGTCGTGGCTGGAGGAGGGCGCGGCGTTGAAGGCTGGCACATTTTCCCTCAACCAAGCTTGGGTGTTTTTTTGCTTTAAGGGATGGCGCCGAGTCTTGTTGAAAAATCTAATCCTTATTTTGAAACAACGTATCAGACAGGGGTTTCACCATGGGCTCTAAAATGTCACTCTGACAATTCTTGGCTTTCACCTTGACACCTTGTTGGCAGAAATGGAGCGGAGTGACAGTTACATATGAAACTCTTCATCATACCATCACACTAGCCGGATGATGAATGCGCGAGACATTCCGTGCAGAAGCTGAGACATCCTTGCTACTTTTAGCATACACTTTATTTTTTTGTTGGTTGAACTTTTCTTCGACAGTAAAAAAATTCTCGTTGGTGAAGAGTCATCTAGGAAGATCCTGACATCATGTCTCCTCTGCAGCAATGGACAACGTTCGCTCGTACCTTACGAAGACGATCGTTTAAAAAGTGAACTTTTATACGGCTATAGGCGTTTACCTTAAGATCATATTTCAGTATTCTGTTTACTGAAACGCGCGAAATATTGGTCTGCAGAGCTGAGTGCGACATGGATTTCGGCGAAGTGTGGTCGACGACTCCTTTGGCGATCTTGTAGAGAACTTGTTTCTTTGTACCACAGTATTGTGTAATAGACGAAGTTACGGCTTACAGGAAAACTTTTCAGCTAACGGAAAATCTGCATCGGTTTTTTTCCCGCCTTAAATAGCGAAATGACAGTTGCACGTAATTGTTTCGTTCCCTCCATCACGAGAAAATATAAACAAATGAATTTGCGATACAAATAAACTAAAAGTTTAACATTCCAAATTAAAAATTGGTAAAAAAATAAGTTTCAGTAACATTTTATTTTATATTTTCAGTAAAAAGTTTGTCTCATAACTGAACTGACGAGGTATCTTTCAAGTTACTGCCCTAACCAATTAAGCTTCTCGAGACCCAGCGATATTGACGGGTTTTGTAGATACTTCTTGCAATTACGAGTATCGAGGTTCAGGCAATTCACCTAAACCATCTCGGGTAGTTTGGACTAGTGAAGTCGTAAGTATTTTTCTTTAAGATAAATATCAATATAGCATTGTGAATGCAAGATTGATCAAAAATAAGACTAATAATATAGTTTCTTACCTTTTCATTGTCTATGTACCAGGTCAGACGTGGTGCTGGTGCAGCAGGTGCACTTGTGCAATTTGCCCGGAACATTCCTCCTACCACTACATCTGGCTTTCCAAATGTTATTATCGGCGGATGCTTCTGAGAGTCTGGTGAATAAAATAATTTCATTACAACCTTATTAACGTTACAAATATTATAAATCGATTAACTCGGTGGCATAGGAAATAAACGCCACGGCCAACGCTCGTTGTTGTTAAGCAACTTTTGCAAGGGTCGGTCACGGGATGGATGATTGAAAAAAATAACTCGATGGTCCCGGCTGCATTTGCAGTTATTAATGCTCTCCAATCCGCAATGGGCCAGCGTGGAACATGATGACCTATCCTCCTTAACCATCCATAAGAAAGGCCTTAGCCCCTGTAGTGGGGACATAAAAGGGCTGATGATGACATGAGTGTTTTAAGTATATCGGAAAATTAGAAGTTACAAAAAATAATTAAAAACTTTTTTATTATTAGTGGGTAAAAGTGTTATTTAGGTGCATTGCAGCGTAATACACAGCAGATATAATAAAGTCTGTTCAGTCTGTAAAGTCTGTAAAGTCTGACAGCGACACTAATAAAATTACATGTTAAAGAAAACGATCTATAAATCGACCTTTGTATTATTTCGGTTAATTATTTTTGTACGGGTTGAAGGTTACAGTATCCCGTTTATTCTAGAGTGACCTATACCAACCGATGGTAGCCGAATAAGAAATAATATTATACGAGTATCATCACGACATAAACACAATTCTATATGTGGGTTGGAGGGCACATCTTAAAGACATTATCTTAAAGACAAGCCCCCGACGAAAGACTGGAAATGCGCAACTGTGCATTTTCAGTCCTTAACCGTCCAGTTGAGAGGTTCACAGACATAAATCTGTTTGTAGGTAACCCCCCACCCCCACCCCCCGTGGGTCGATGTGCCCTTCAGTGTCTATCTCGATTTCACACCCCGCAGCTCCGAAGAGGGTAGTACTACATGGCCTAAGGCAGCCAAGCCTACAAATCCGCCTCTGGATACGCTAGGTTTTCTTTTGACGCTCGCATAATATTTGTGCTATTGTTTTTGCCTTCTCTAGTATCATACCATTAGAAACATCAAGCTAAAAACCTATTACACAAAGGAACAGCATTTTTGTTGCATGAAATATTAAGATTATATTTTCTTTAAGATTATACTTTCTCGGGGTGCTGATTTAAGATCTGAAGTCAGTTCTTTTTTTGTATTACCTTAAGTTTTTGAGTTTTTAAGAAAAATCTATTTTTTATTAAGAAAATATTTACAAAAGCAACCACTACTTGTCAAAAAATTTCTTTTATAAGATTTTCTTGCTTCATTGGATTCACGAGGCCTGTTTTTAATACTCCAGTAATAGTCCGCGATCATGTGAGCATTCCAGTGACCTTGGTAACGTTCCTCCATAGTACGAATGTCTTGATGAAACCGTTCCCCTGGTTCTTCATTCAGATCACCAAGATTGTCAGGGAAATGGTCCAAATGGCTGTGGAGCTGCTGGAAGTGTGACAACATTAGTTCAATATGCTCCACATAGCTTTCATCCTTTGTATTTCCCAAAAAATTTTGTGCGGTCCAAACGAATTAATTCCAGGCATTTTTTTCAATATTAGTCATGTAACTAATAAAGTTTTCATCCTTTATCTACCTTCTTATTTGTGAACCATCAAAAATTCCGGCTTTAAGTTTCTCTGTGCTCAAATTATAGAACTTTTGAGAGATGTATTTAAAACAATCACCATCCTTGTTCAGAGCTTTAACAAATTGTTTCATGAGCCCTGGTTAGATGTGTAATGGTGGTAGTATTATGCGATCCATAGGCACAAGGGTTTGATTTATCACATTCAGTTTTCCCGGAATAATAGAAGGCTATATGGAAGGCCAATCTTTTTTAACCACATGCTCAGACTTAGCTCTGCTCTCCCATAGACAAATAAAACAAGCATATTTTGCATAGCCCCCTTGTTGGCCAAGAAGAAAATTCACCATTTTAAGATCTACACATATCAGTCACTTGTGTTTGTTGTACTTGATTCTATCCATACCAGCAGCTACAGTAGCATATTCTTCTTTGACTGTAGTTGAATGTGCAATAGGTATCGAACCCAGCCTATTGCCGTTATGCATAAGTACACATTGGAGGCTGCGTTTAGAGGAATCAATAAATAAACGCCAGTCATTGGTATTATACGTTTCTACTCCCATTGCTTTCAATAAACTAGGAACATCAGAACAAAAAACAAAGTCGTCATCTTCAGTAAAGAATGAAAGCAATTCTGTCTCTAGGTTACGATAGTATGAAATCCTTGTTTCTGGAGTTAAAAGATTTCTTTGCTTTAAACGATAATCTAGAATCTCCGGTGCTTTTTTAGAAATACCAAGATCTCTCACTAAAGTACTGAGGTCTTCTTGATTAAAGGGCTGAAACTCAGAAGAAATATGTGGGCCAAAATCAGTTGTCCCACTTTCATCACTTAAAAAAGAGCTTTTTACTTGTAAATCGGGATCATTTTGTCTAGATGAAGAAGCTGGCGCATCCACGGAGTACAGGACTGGTCGAGTAACAGATGACAAGTTAGGGTAAAACCATTTCGATCGGTTTCTTTTATTAATACCATTAATATCAACCACACAAAAATAGCAATCATCATGATGATTGGAAGGTTCCCGCCATATCATTGGTGTTTGATACTTACAATGGGATCTTTTCTTATTCGCCCATAATCTCAAAGACTCCACACATGTTTTACTTACCATATGAGGGACCCAGTACTTGTCACGTGTGTCCAAAGTGAATACAAAGTAATAACACCTGTTTTATGAACTCCGACACAGTTAGTCTACAATTTTTGAATGTATATTCACCACAGATGTTACAAAAGTAGTTGGAATCATTTTTACAGATATTTCTCGACGTGGACATTGTTAAACAAAAAACTTTTTTAATAAACAGTACGATAGATTTAAGTTTAAATGTGACTCGTACAAATGTATGTCTGATAGCTGTATCTCAAAAACTAGAAGCTGCTAAAGAAAAAATGAGATTTGAAATCAGCGACCGCAAATTAGTAAACAACCATAATAAAATTCCATGCAACAAAAAAAAAGGTATATTTTGTTCCTTTGTGTTATTTTTGCGTGGTATTGTAATGAACAGACATCCATCGTCACAAACTTTTATTATAAAATTAATTAAAAGAAATTGTGTGTAGATTTAAAGTAGTTAAGCAAGCCATTTATTTGCAAGCAAGTGATTTATTTTTGTACGAACCAACAAAGTATGAATGAAGAGCACTTCTGACAAATATCATGAGTAAGTGCCCGTTAAAAAGAGTTGTATTAATAGCAAACCTGAGCAAACCAAACTTCGGACTTTATGATACAGTTACTTCATGACACAATAAAATTTATTGAATTTATGCCAAGCTAAAACAAGTTAACTCTGCAATTTAGACTGGCGAGGCTAGAACCTATTTTAATTTATTAAATACTAGTTGTTTTCTTGCGACTGCTCCCACATAATTTATAGTGTGTCACCCACGTATGATGTAGCTTTCCGCAGGTAAAACATTTTTCAAATCTATTCAGTGATTTTGGAGCCTATTTATTCAATGTAAACAAATATATCCTCTTTTTAAAACTTTATATCCTCTTTTGTGTAGTACACAAATAATTATATAGTACTTAACCTGAGATGAAAACTAACCAATTTTATATAATAATATCATTTTTATCATTGTATAATTTATTTACTTGGTTCCAAAACAAGTAATTCATATATTGCTAAAAGATTGTATATTTCTTAAATTATATAAAATACCATCACAGACATATTAAACATAAAATATTAAATATTAGTACCTAACTTTAGAAAATAAATTTAAAATTTAATTAAAATGTAAAATATAAATCTAAATCGTATATTTAATTCAATAAAACATATTTGAATATAACGTTGCAGTATACTTTATATGAAAGACGTCGAAATTGGGTTAACCTTATTCGACATGACGCCACAAAGATTATTCCCTTATTTATATGGAGCAGCTATATTACACCGCGAAATGACTTATTCATCTAAATGGATACATTCCGTATTCGTTGTGTGCACAATACAATGTAAATCATATTTATACTCACATACGACTGTCAGTTGGTGAGGGGGGGAGGCTGCCGTGAAGATAGGTGTCTCTAAGGACACCTCACACCAATACACGCCTGTGGCAGACGGGTCCAGGCTGTCTATGGTAATAGAGTTCTCTGTAGCTAGTGACATCTGTTGGAAAAAATGGAATTCTCTTACAGTTTCCAATTACTTCAATAAAACATTATTTATTCTAGGGTAAAAGAGTAAAGACATTCTATTTAGTCTAGACTGATTATGGTAATAGCCTTCTTTGCAGCCAGTGAAATATGTTGGTAGAAAATAAAATTTAGTTTATCTTTCTATTTGCTTCAGTAAAAGCATTATTTTTGATACTGTCTGGTCCATAGTTGTAGTTCAACATTGAGTCGTCGTTCCCATCGTATATTATACTATTTAAGATTACATATCATTCAAATCATCATTCATTCCAAAAGGAACTTTAAAAGTTACATAATTTCATAAATCGCTATCACAAACGCTATATCCGTGAAAGTGATAGAGACTGATTTTTTTCTAGTTAATTCATGAAAAAAAAAAATTGAGTCAATACTTTAAGTAAATCAGCGACTATTTTGTGTCCAAATTAAAAAAGAAAATTTGATCATTGAAAACTTGAATTTGGATTAAATAACGAACGCATCTCATAAAATCCAAAAATAACTAAATTATTTGTTCCGCAAACTGCGTTAATAGCAAGCACAGTCCTTAGGGAATAACCTGAAGACCGACAGAGCTGAATGTAGGAATTAGCATAACTAAGTAATAATGCTTAATTGATCATATTACCTCTAATCGCATTGAGTAAGCCACTGCTTACAGTAATAAAGAGGTTCAAAATAATAATTATTACGATTCAAATTAAGAGCCATATGACAAATTTTCACTCTGTGATTTGAGTTCTCGAGAACTTGTTCAAGGTCACGAGTCCACAATACTGTTTTGAAACCACGTTCAAGCTATTTTGATACTTTTCCCAATTTTTGTATTTATTTTAGTATTTCTATGGTGAGATTCATTATCGATTCCCGAATATTTTAAACGACTGCTCTCGAAAAGGATTCTATTGTTTTTAGAATTAATGTATGTATGTGAGTATTTTTATTGCACCATAACTTTTGAAAGATATAACGGATATGAATGTACAGGGTATCATTAGAAACATCATCCTAAGTTACCACAAAATACATAGAGTATCAGTGAAACTAGCTTAATTATTAAATAGGTATGGGGACGTGTGACGCCATTTAAAAAAGTATGTTTTTTTTTATAATCATAACTTTATGGGTATCAAATTAAAGGTCCATTAAAAATATATAATCTGTATACAAAATTAACTGCTCACTAAAATGAATAAAATATAAAAATTATTTAAAAATTAAAAACACGACTGCTAAAATCGGACAAAAATTAAAAGAAACAAGTTTAGCCAAATCATAGGCTATAAATATAAATAGCGATGACAATATATCAATAAAATTATAAATATTAATTAAAAAATATTCGTGCCATATTTTTCGTCGACGATTTCGAAATATTTTCGTCATCCATAGAAAACATGGACTGTTTCCTGTTTGGAAAAGTAGTAAATTAGAATTATATTAAACTAGTTGTGCCCGCGGCTTTATGCGAATGGAAAGTAACCTAAGGTTCTTTTCTCATGGCTAGATGCGATGTTATTCGATATGAATGAACGATATCACACGAATCGCATGCACTTATAAAATGTATGGAAAAACTCAAGTGTTTGAGATTGTACTATCTGTCAATATCGGTCACAAATCTCATGGTCACTTCAAATGTATGAAGGTGGTAGAACGCTCGATCTGCTTTTGATTTTCTGTTCAATAATATCGAGGAATGATTCATTTGCTCATACTTACCATATCATCAAAATATATTGAATTTTACAAAAAAATACGGCAATATCCGTATATCAACAAATAATAAGCTCGATGGTGCCGGATAGCTCGTTTGATCTGCGATTGAGGAGGTTAAGCGACGATTGCAAAGGCCGGCAATTGGATGGGTGGTCAATTTTTTTGGTGGTCAAAAAAGAGATAAGGCAAAAAGAGCATATAAGAAACGTCCAACTAACCGCAATCTTATTCGTTTTAAGGTTCTTCGAAATTGCTGCAGTCGTATGTGTAGGGATGCTAAGCGACGCTTCTTCCATAGCTCTCTTACTGATCGCAATCCTACTGATGCCTGGCGGTTTTTGCGCTCTGTAGGAGTGGGGAAATCTACTGCTACTGTGTCTACCAATGTAGATTTAAGCGTCCTTAACAGACACTTCTCCCTTCCTCCTTCTACTATCGATGGTGACATAAAGGATTCTACGCTCGCAGAACTTTCACTGGCTCCGAGGCCAGACTGCACATCTTTTGTCTTTTCAAAAATATCCGAAACTGACATTAAAAATACCATTCAAGCCATTTCTTCCGAGGCTGCTGACGAGGACAACCTAAGCGTAAGAATGTTTACCCTTATTTTATCTTTTCTCCTTCCTATACTTGTTTACATACTTAACTTCTCACTTGAATCCGGTTCTTTTCCCAAAATTTGGAAGATGGCGCACATTATTTCACTGCCTAAAGTATCTAATCCTTCAGTCCCATCTCATTTTCGTCCTATTTCTATTCTTCCCCTTCTCTCTAAACTTCTTGAGCATATTGTTCATAAGCAATTATCAACTTTTCTTTTTTCTAATTCCCTTTTGAATAGGTACCAATCTGGTTTCCGCCCTGGTCACTAGTACTGTAACAGCTTTAATAAACATTACTGATGATATTCGTTGGGCTATGGAGAATAAAGCTCTTACAGTTCTAATTCTTCTAGACTTCAGCAGTGCTTTTAATTCTGTCGATTTTGACATTCTTCTCGCTATTCTTCGTTCTTGCAATATCTCTCCTTCTGTTCTCTCATGGTTTGATTCCTACCTTCGGGGACGCACGCAACGTGTGCGTCTTGGTAAAAAATCTTCTGATTGGTGCGACCTCGGTGCGGGTATTCCTCAGGGTGCTGTTCTCTCACCTCTCTTATTTTCTATTTTCATTAACTCGGTTACTAAAGTTATATCTTCCAACTTCCACCTTTATGCAGACGACTTGCAGCTTTATCGACACTTTAAAATAGAAGACTGTAACTCAGCACTGGTAGCTATTAATAACGATTTGGATCGCATTAGTACTTGGGCAAAATCGTTTGGCCTCATGCTTAACCCAAGTAAATCTCAGGCCATTGTGATAGGTAGCAGGTTTAATATTAATTCTATTTCTGCATTATCTTTACCACCCCTGCTTTTGGATGTGACTCAGATCGAGTTAACAGACACTGTAAAAAATCTTGGAATTACAATGGATTCAAATCTATCATGTATTGCCCATGTATCTGAGGTTAGTCGTAGGACCTTCTTCTCATTTCACACAATTAAATGCCTTCAAAACTTTTTACCTTTTAAAACTAAAGTGTTACTAGCACAATCCTTAATTATACCTCTTCTTGACTATGCAGATGCATGTTACTTGGATGCCACTGAGGAGTTATTAAACAAACTTGAACGACTTCAAAATCTAGCGATTAGATTTATTTATGGTCTTCGTAAGTATGATCATGTGTCACATTTACGTAAGCAGCTCATGTGGCTTCCCATTCGTCAGCGTAGATATGTCAGGATTGTCTGTCTTCTGTTCAACATCCTGTATAATCCCGTCTATCCTTCCTATCTGCATGAGCGTTTCTCCTTTCTCCGTTCTCCTGATGCTCTTTGCAGATCCCACCTTAAGTCTTCAAACTCCTTCACACAAAACGGATTTTGCTTCATATTCCTTCACTGTTCATGCTGCTAGACTCTGGAACTCTTTGCCTGCCGATATACGTGACAGTCGCACTATTTCTGTGTTCAAAAAAAGAGTAAAGGATCATTATCTTTCCTGTTGTTGATATTGAATAGTGTAGGTATTATTAATCTTTATATATTATAGATATATATATATTATTTATATAATGTTTGAACCGTTATGTATTTTTATTTTCTCTCTTTCCCGGTATTTGAATTTGTTTTTTTTATTCCATATTAATTTATTTAGGAGGTACACACTGACTACCTTATTGTATTTCTTTTTCCTGTTTTGGGCCTGCTGGTAGAAATTTCAATTTGAAATAAGCAGTGCCCTTGTACTAATGTCTGTTACATTTGTTCATATGAAATTGTATGTGTGTACAAAATAAATAAATAAATAGATAATCCAACATTTTGTGGCGGCGGCCATCTTGTATATAAAATTTTGTCATAGTAAACAGTATTCTACTACTCAAGCCCTTTTATTTAATGTCCGTATTGAGGGAGTCGTGAAAAATATGTAGGTAATCCAACATTTTTGGTGGCGGCCATCTTGGATTTGAAATTTGTCATAGTGTTCAGTATTCTACTACTCAAGCCCTCTTATTTGATATCCATATTGATGGAATGGTGATAAAATATGTGATCCGACATTTTGTGGCGGCGGCCATCTTGTATCGATTTTCATCAAAGTGAAGAACACTCCCGATTAATACACCTTTTAAACAAAATCAAAACGGGTTCATCCGTTCGGGAACTATGATGCCACAAAAAGACACAAACACACCACACACACACACAGAGACATGTCAAACTTATAACACCGCGTCGTTTTTGCGTCCGGGATTAAAAATATATTGAATTTAGAAAAAGTTGTTTCATATGCGGATCTCCGATAAATTTGATATCGGTCGAATTGCATCGAGCCATAAGTCTAAGTTAATCCTCATTACGTAAGTCAACTTCTAGTGAAAGTCTCTTCAAAATCGGCCAAGCCGTTTCAGAGATTAGCCAGAACTAACAGACAGACAGATAAAATATATTATTTTTGTATATGTACCATGTATACACACAAATGTATTTAGTGAAAAGCGGTTATTTTAATATTACAAATATGCACTCCAATTTTATGTACTAGTATAAGTGTATTGAGAGAAGAAGTACCTTGCTTTATTTGCATTTCATAATATAAATATATATTTTAACTTTCTTATACAAATATACCTAGGGGTCTTTCGACCTATGCTGAAAATAACAAATATGTATTAGAAATAATTCAATAAGCTATATAAATTCCATATAAATCGAACTTCGTGACCAAAGTTGGAAGTCCCACTATACTGCTCTATTTACGTTCGCTCGAACGTATCTAGATCGAAAAATGGCGCGAAGAAATGCGACACAGGTCTAACGTTGAGGAGCGCTCGCGCAGTACTGAGCTCAGACGGCCGCTGCATCTTATTTTGTAGTGATTTTGCGTTTACATTTATCGTATTTATTGAAATAATATAATTAATTTATGCTTTAAAATTATAATAACTTTGTTCCTTATGAAATAGTCATTAATCTGGCATAGATTTTGTTAAATAATATTGTTGTGGCTAAGAGAAATTCAAAGTTAACTTCAAGCAATTTTTGATGTTTTTTGATTTGTAACATAATTGTTTTTCTATATTTAATCAGTGCTATTTCAAAATTTCGAGCTACTGTTTACTTTACGACTATATAAGAGATATCATTCTATTTCTTTTATTTCGTTTGTTAAGAACAGTAGCTCAATCCAGGACTTCAAAAAAGTGTCTTTGCGCATTTTATGAAAAACTTTCTCTGGTATTTTGGATTTAATTAAAAGATGAGCAAAATTTCCAAAAACTTGAGCCACTAATTTCTATACCAAGAGTTATTCTTCACTATTCAACAAGTCAAAATTGTTAATTTGTTTTTGTTTCCGAGAAAAATCACGCAGAAATCACAGTTGCGATGTAATATGGCTCTTAATAACATTAAATTGCCTAAGACTAAAGTTATTACAAGGGTTCTTGTGATTATTAAAATTGTAACCGTCGAAAGAAAGGATCTGTTTCATATTAAATTATGATGCAATGAATTCAAATTACCATTTCCCTTTATAACAATTTTACAAATGCCATTTAAACTTCTCGCGTTAACATCCAACCTTTCAGTCGAAAAATCAAAGTTCTAACGACATTGAATTTCATAAAAACAGATTTCGGGTTTCTATCATTGCTAACTTTCTAGTACTTTTAAATGTAAAGGAATTCTTGGAACGAGACGCGATAAATCAATCCGAAACATAACGAAGTTCGAATTTTGAATGTTTACCATTTAAGCGTTGTTTTAATTGGCTACGATTGTGCGAGCAAACGACGTGATTTAGTCGCACGACGAGATTAAACGCACACATTTCCGATCGTCCTGATTCAGCCTATGATTCATAGTGTCGAAGCGTCAAAATTCCTTCAAATTAATAAAATAGGTTTGATCATGCCATTAAGCTGATGGCTATATTTAAACATTAAATATGGGCTGGCCAAAAGTGGAAAAAACACAAATAATACAAGCAATTCCTAGCCTTTCTCAAAATTCAGACAAATACAATGCACATGTTGGTATGTGATATTCAAATATGCACACACATATATTTATATCACATGCCTAAATAATCTCTTTTCTCCGATAGTTAAAGTCCCTTCTTACATTACGATATTGGCAATAGACGAGACTTTATTAGCGTACATAAAGAATTCTTGTAAGCTACTAGAACTTCATATATTACGCTTCAGAAAAATCATCATTTATATTTGAACTGCATAATGTCCGGACGTTCAAATTTCATATTGAATGCCATTTCAACGCCATTTTGTTGAAATTAGCAGGCTACAGTCGTGCGGCGACTGATACGGCGGATATCCAGAGACTGGTAGCGGATACGAAGGATACTCGTTGCAAAGTGTGCGAATCGCAATACAAAAATATGTGATATCGGATTACTTCGGGGACTTATTATCGACACGCGCGTAGGATAGTAGTCTTCTTTTACAAAATCTACTGATTACGATTCCATTTATGAATTTAGATTTGTATCTAAATTAAATTAAACTCAATGTAGCAATTTTAGTTAACGTAAATGTCAGCTTTTTACAACTTGCCATTAATGGATATTAGTTGCAGTAGCATAAAAACTATTTTACGAGTGCTGAAGTTAAATTGATTTTGTAATACTACCTCCCTACATTGAAGGGGTGAAGTCGTTTAATACGCTGCCATTAGCGATTGCGGAGACTACTAACTTGAGACATATGATAAAGTAAGATACAAACGAAGATTCACAATATTCCATATTAATTGAAATTATTTTATCTAAACACCATGTCAACGTTAAATTTCTCGGTATACCTCAGAAGAGATCTGTTTTGAAGTTATAGATAGATATATCGTAAAATGTAACTCACATTAAGTTTTCCTCCGTGGAAAGTGTAATTGGTGAACGGTGGAACCCTCTCCCGGACATATTGAAGCAACTTCGCCTCGGACCTCAGGAACTCTACTTTGTATAGTAGTTGAGGTGGCACTTGGTGTAAGCATCGTAGAGTGGCAGAACCTCCGCGTGCTACCCAACTAGGAGCTACTAGACGCACGTCTACATCTGTCGCTTGCCCGCTTCCTGCGAATAAAATTAAACTACAATAATATACTTTTTGTTGAAAGAAGCTTCAAATCAGTGAGAATAAACGTCAGAATCCAGGAGTGCGTTGCAAACTCATTCATCTTTTTTTTTTTGTACCAAAAATATTCGCGCATACCCTGTCATCTGTCAAACTGCAAATTTATATGCTCCACAATGTGATCAACTGGCGAAAAATTATGGCCGCATTTGCAAAATATTCTTAATGAAAAATGAGTATATCAATAAATATGACTTCGAAACATATGAAGCTCATTGAATCGATTTTCTTTTAAGTGTCGCGTAATTGCTTCTCACATAAGGCACTCCAATTATAAACTTTGTGCGACAGAGTATGCTCACTTTATTACACTCTTATATTGGGAAATAATTGTCGTTTATTATATTTCGTAAAGTACTTTACGGTGAAATTGTAAATCACAAGTAATTTTATAAGTACTTATTATATTGCCGAAACCTTGTATACCTATAAACAAAATTGTAAAAAAGAAGCTAATAGCTAAGTTTTAGGAGATACGACGCGGTTTTGTTCACTGGCCCCTTTTTGGTCTTTTGGAACTTTAAAGCATCGTAACTAACGCATTATTAAAATGTTTAATTGATACCTGTGACGTGTCAAAAATAAATTCTTCGTAACTCTTATAGTTGCCAAATCTGAGTCTTTGTCTTATATTAGTAAAACCGGGACATTTCACCAATACCTAATTGTATTATTTAATCAGACTGAAATATATTCCAAATTAGCAAATCCTGAAATAAGTATTTTAATTACTGCAGTATATTGATTTCTGAATGAACTAGCAATAATGGTCCGTGAAACAGAGCTAGAATTATTTTCGGATATGCACACCTGCTCTGTAAAGTTCATCAATTAATACCGAACTTCATATTGCATTACGAAAGTTTATCAAATACCTAGTTGTTCAGCATTCAGTTGAGACTAGGGTCTCATCATAAGTTTCCAGTGCATATATGATAATTTACATAATGGTATTTTTGTGTCTTTCAAATACAGAATAATATATCTAGATCTAACAAAACTTTTATCATTCGGAGAACCGTGGTATGAGCACGCTAGACTGGGCTTTTTTACGAGCATTTGCCATTTGCGACCAGGGCTCTAGGAGCATTCGAGAATTTGGTTTAATGCTCTAATCCGTATTGCAGAATCCGCTGAGTGTTCGTTCGCGTTTGACTAGAGACAATTTGGCGGAAGCATCACAATCCATCGAATTTTTACTGAGCAAACAGGGCGACATTTTGAGATTATTTATCTTTGGTGCAGATGTATATAAAATAAAGAATTATACAACAAATTAAATTATATAAACGACTAACGCCCGGTTTCTGAATTGAGAATTTGAAGTTGAGCACGTCTCAAACCGTGCTTAAGCCACTTTAAATGTCATTAAAACATGTTTTAATTATTGATTCCTAAATTTTAATTATCAGTTGATAGCAATTTGATAAATCTAATACTTTTTGCCATATGAAACGAAAAAAAACTTAATTTATTAAAAATAATCAGTTGAGATTTTGTACTTTCTTAATTCAGAAACCGGCCGTAACACAACACAAATAGAAACACGCCAACTATTATTATTATGCAACAAAAGTATAAATGTTTAAAGAGACCACAAAATGTTTTCTCTTTAGGTATGATTGGCGTCTTAGTTTCTTGAGTAAAACACATTTTAAGCAAGTTTTATTTTTTGCGTTTAAAATATTTCTATCGTACGATTATGCTTTGAATATTTTCATTCAACAGATGAAGACGTGTTTTGTTGTAAATATTTGCATTTACTATTAGACCTTAGGAATTTGTGTTTATGTTTGTTAGAATATATTATTGTATCCTAAGATTATTACAGTACGAGATACGAGTGAGTTCTAGTTTTCCAAGAATCACGGTTAGTTAATCCACCTACATGTACTCGACTTAATCAACATCGCTTTTCTCTGAGGCGGCAGGTGTCTCAAATGTCTTCAATTATAGCCGTACGGTGTTGGCTTGAGCCCCTGCAGTGGGGACGTAAAAAGGCTGGTGGTGGTGTTGGCTTTGTCGGTCCATTATAAAATTCTGAAATAACTTAGGTGAATTGTTTCAGAGTCTACCATTGCCATCTTCCAACGGGGTTAATATACAATTTCAGGACCAATTTTACAGTTTAATGATTGGTATGAGACATACTATGAATGGAATTTTTCACCAATTTTTATCGCAATTAATAACATATTGATATTAAGAGCAATTAAAAAACCTATTGCGTCAGTCAACTGTCAACTTAAGAAAAAAAAACTAGAGAAATAAAAAAAGTATTTTGGTATATTAACGTATTTATCGTGAATATAGATTTTTGCATCACGTAACAAATTTTAAATTGTGTTGCTGTAGAACTGTGGAATAGTAACGTTACGTTTCCGGTGGCAGATGCGGTGAAGTGCCTCCAATTAGCCTCATGCTGACTCTACGCCGCTTTAAAGCTTCTGAGCGCGTTACCGTGAAACAGGCCGTGCGCACTGAACGATGCGCTGTCACGAAATAAACGGTGAAATGGAAATTTAAAATGTTTATTATGAAATTCATAAAAAAAAATATAAACGAATATCAATGGAAGTAAGCGTAAGTAAATGTTTATTATGAAATTCATTAAAAACTTATAAATTATTCCCAATGGAAGTAAGTGTAAGTAAATATAGAAAGGCATATTATCTATGTTTCTCATAAAAAAAGTTCAACTTCGAATTATTTTATTGAAATTGAAAAATATATAAAATTGCTATTAATTATAACTTTGAGAAATCATTGCTATACGCCAAGCTACGAGTATTATATAGTATCCGCGGAGTAACGTAGACTACGTTACTCCGCGTAATTATAACTTTGAGAAATCATTGCTATATGCCAAGCTACGAGTATTATATAGTATCTGCGGAGTAACGTAGACTACGTTACTCCGCAGATATTATATAACACTCGACTTCTATTGAATAGAGATAGCGTCAGCGTAAATATTAAGAGGTACCCACTTGTTACTTTTTCGCTTCTACATAGCATATTCTCATCAATGTTCATGCAATCCACCAAAACAGCGAAAAGAAATATTTTTACAAATATTTAAACTTTAGATAAAAATGAAAATTTGTTTCAATTTCGCATTCAAATGCTATACTGAAAAATACTCTTAATGAAAAATACTTGGTCCTTGATTAAACTATTCGTCAGTCCTGTTAGGTCCTGAGTAGCTTAGTGGTTAGAGCAGTCGGGTGGATTGCGAAAGGTCAAGATTTTTTCATTAAGAATGCATCAATGCGTTATGTATCTATAACCTATATATATCATATTTATGTTCGGTTTCACTAAGCTTAGGAGTCAGCTAAATCTGGCACATAAATATTTAGGTATTATCTAAGATAAAAATGCGTTTCACTAATTACAAGGAGCCACCTGACGATTCTAACGAAAAAACGATAACCTGTTAATGTGACGTTCAATCACACTTTGAGACGTGCTTGACTTTAAATACTCAATTCAGATACCAGGTGTAACAGATTTTTTTCAATACTGTTGGTATACACAAAAGTTTTTACATTTAAAAACGAATATACATAAGCCACTCCTTGTACTTTAATACGAACCCTTACTAATATTATAAAGGGAAAAGATTTATTGATTGTTTGTTTGCATTGAAAAGGCTCCGAAACTACTGGGCCGATTTTAAAAATTCTTTCACTTACGGGTTTGATATAGACTATATTTAAACAAGCAAATTGAGTTTCTGTTGTAGTCATATTTGTATTTTCGTATTTATATAAATATCTACATCTCGTTATCACCATAAATGTGTTTTTAATGATCCGATAGCCATGTATTTACGAGGGTCAAACTGAAAGTTCTTAGAAAATCAAAAACTGATTACATTAGCCAGTTATTAGTTTTATTATATCTTTTCAAAATATTGTCCATTCACGTCAATACACCGCTGCATGCGATGGAACCACTGGGAAAAGCACTTTGCCCACTCGTCCTTAGGGGTCTCTTCAATGGCATCGCGATACGCAGCCGACGCTTCTTCAGCATTCATAAACCGCTTTCCTTTAAGTTTTTCTTTAATTTTTGGAAATAAATAAAAATCACAAGGCGCGAGGTCGGGGCTATACGGCGGGTGACCCAGTAATTCAACGTTTGATGTCGCCAAATAGTCGATCGTTCGCTTGGCGGTGTGCGACGAGGCGTTGTCGTGGTGAAGGAGGATCCTACTGCGAGGTTGTTTCTCTCGAACTTTTTCCAAGACAAGTGGCAAACAATTGGTAGTGTACCATTCTGCAGAAACTGTTTTTTGATCCTCTAACACAATTGTTGCAAAATGACCTATCCTTCCAAAGAACGAGGCCACCATTTTTTTTCCCGCACTTCGATCTCTCTTCACTTTAGTTGGCAACTCCTCGAAAGGAAACACCCACTGAGCAGATTGTCTTTTGGTTTTAGGATCATAACAGTAAATCCAGCTTTCGTCACCTGTTAGTATGTCGAACACAGCATTTGAGTCACCTCCGTTAAATCTTTCAATCATTTTACGACACCAATCCACACGATGGAGTTTTTGAGCCTCAGTCAAATTATGAGGTATCCACCGGGCGCAAAGCTTCCTGACCGCTAAATGTTCGTGGAGGATTTTGTGCACTTGACTCATACCGATGCCTAAGCTTGTCCGAATCTGTTGATAGGTCACTCTTTTGTCAGTCTCTATCATACGCCGCACAACACAGATGTTATCTTCAGTCGTCGCCGTAGAAGGCCGTCCCTCACGTAAATCATCAGTGACATTAGTGCGACCACGTTTAAACTCATTAAACCAGTTGTAAACAGTCGCACGAGATGGGGCTTCATCGTGAAAGGCCAATCGTAGTCTATCATAACTTTCTTGTTGACTTAAATGACATCGAAAGTCATAAAAAATCATTGCACGAAAATTTTCTCGTGTTAAATTCATGATGACGTGACACAGACAATTTTCAATTTGCCGCCAAATCGTAAAACAAATGACAAATGAATGAAATATATACTCAGTAATATTGGCAAAGAGTTATATTTTCAAATTTTAGAATTATTTTTTTATTATATTGTTTATAAGTGGCCAGTTCTAAGAACTTTCAGTTTGACCCTCGTATTATTATTGATAAAAATCACACAGATTACTAAGTGCCATTAACTTTAAGAAGTGTATTTCAACTTCAAGCTTTAAATATTCATCAAAATCATTATATTCTTCATACTAGTTTCTTTTTATCTAATCATACTTCTATCGACATTATTTCTTTAAACTGATAGTGGTTTTCTAGTAGTAAGAGTGTAATGGCAGTTTTCACTAAACTTAGGCGTCGCCCAAGTCTGACGTCTAAATATTTGGGCATTGTCAAAGGTGAAAATGGGTTTTATAAATGACAAGTAGCCACCTAACGACTTTATGCAACGGCTAAAGTTCAGACATGCATTGTGCGGCGCCGGCGCCTAGCGAGGAGCATTTGCGTAATGTGACATATGTCAAGGTATAAAATCAATTTAGTGAGTTGGAATCAAGGAGTTTATATATTAAAATAATCATATAAACCATGTTTTTCTTTTAATATTCACAATTATTATATAATGGCAACTTGGGTGCTTTTGTAGTATTATAGTCTACGTATAATTTTCTTGTTTTATTAACTCAAAATAGATATTTTTGTTATTGTCTCTTTAGATGTAAAGGCTTCTAACATGACATTGGCGGAAATGTGTAAACGCAAATAGACCATACATTAAAAAAGGAGAAGAACTGACGTACACAAAATCATAGACAAACGTTGTCTTCCTAAGAAAGTGCTTAGTAAGGGATTACCTAACGTACAAGTTTGGTGAAACGACAACTCTGCTTACACTATTCTTAATATTAAGTGTTTTTTTTTGTAAAGTTATGCCTTGATCTAGGTTTGTGAAAATGGGCATTACAAACATTTTTACTTATCTAGAACAAGACATAGCTTAACTAGATAAGACGTGATTTTACAAATCGCTGCAGATTACTTTAATTCCATGTAGATATATTTCTTTAACCATTTGACACGTTTGTAACCTGTCATATCATAACGTAACACATTACTTAATGTCGGTATGTGGTTCTAAGTCATCGGGGAAATGCATTTCATTTAAGCTAATTTCTAAATATTTATGCAACAGATTTGGACGACCCCTAAGCTTAGTAAGAATGGGCATTAATTCTCTTTTCATAGATCTAGTATCTGATGTTCGATAGATAGAACAGTATCTGAAATTTTTGATATGCATACAGAATTAAGTTATAGTTTCCTCCCAGTCAAAAAACACTAAAAGATTTTCCTAACAATGTCAAAGTTCCACTTTTTTATAGCACTCATGTAGTGAATCTATCCAATCAGGTTCATGTTGACAGCACGGTGTCATCGGATCTGTGTTCGTCAGAGCGTGAAATGGAACTCGCAGACGTGTGAAAGGAACGGCTGCCTGGACGTTTACACGAGCCCGGTTACCAGTGTTCCAGTCTCCAGCGAAATTTTCATCAGATTATATCATAGTGAATAAATCGACGTGTATTTTATTTGTATGTTTATTTTTGTATGTAATTTTTTTTATTGAAATTACCTGTGTGTAATTAACTCTTTTATTGAGATTCAAATTATATTTCTAACATCATGAAGTAATGATAATTTCTTAAGAGTTGGTACGACTAGTGTATGGTTTTTAATACGATTTTGGTCCATTGTTGTATATAAATGTATTATGGTAAGTTTCCGTTCACTTTTATTTTAGCTTCCATTAATAAAATTAAAGCTTATCATCGAATAACATTATAAAAATTTATGTTTTCTTATTCCGTTAAAATAAATAAGACAAATAACTCGAATTGTCAACAAAAACATCACGTAAAATTCAT